GGAGACACGATCGATGGGACAACGGCTTTATGAGACTGACGTTTCGGATTGTCGCCCGAGTCCCCCATCAGAGACAGTGAAAGAATTCCCTCTTCCCTGCGCCTTATCGGAGCACCACGGCCAGACTTGGCATACAGCGTGGCGATCTCAGCCTAATGAAACATTTTGTGTGTCATACAGACCACATCCGAGCATCCTCTGAGTGTGCAGTGTGTGTGAGCAACGCCATCTGTTCGACGCGCAGCACAAATTCTGCGGAGGAAGGTCCTGCTTTACAAACCGGATGCACACATTGCAGCAGTGGACTCGAGCGGTAGACGATAGTCATATTGTGCATGCTGTTTTTATCGGCTTTAACAAGGCGTCTAATTCCCGACGCGGCACTCACTATTGACAATCTGAGGTTCTGCCTTCAACAGCGAATTGACAAACATGATGGCGATTGTCTCCCTCGAATTAGAGCCCTTCTCACACATTCGCTCTAAGATTTGAACGTTTCAGATGTTCTAGAAATATCTGTTTCGTTTTAAGTTTTCGTCTCGCGAACTAGTAAAGCTTTAATACGTTGCAGGTATAATCCTCGCCGTTATTCTGGCAATAAGTAGCAGTTCCGGGGACCATTTAAAAAGGCCACTGAGACTAAATTTGATGTCAAAATAACCGTTGACGATTTTGATTTGTCGAAAAATGACGGACATGCAAATGCGTCTCGTCCTAAACTTCAGACCTTCGTGAACACTAATCACTTTTCAAATTGGTTTCAGCTAATTCACACAGCGACCACAAACAACAGTGCGTTAGATTCATTTCTTACTACGGCGTCCATATTTTTGTTATGAATTTCCATCATGGTCTTTTTGCAAGTGATCGCACACTGACTCGTTGTTGTCTTCCGGTTTTTATTGTTGCCAAGGCAGCGCTAAAACGAAATCACCCTGACTTTTCTCATTTGAAGGAAGAATTAGTAAATAACCTCCCAAGTGCTCTAGACTGACACCATATTTCTTTAAATAATAATCCAAATTATATTCTCAATTTACCCTCATGCCCCTCAGAATCCCTTCTCGACTTCATTCGACCGAAAATAATTAAGTCAAATACTACTTCTTCCGCTGTCCTGCACTTCCTTAAAAGCAGACTAAAAGTTATGAAGACAGGTTAGGGAAGCATCAATAAGCTCCTTATGAGTTCACTTCAGTATATCTGGAATATTTGAATTGGCGGAGAAAATGAGGCTAGCGCGTGATAAACGGAGGAAGTCTTTGGCTATAAGTGATGCAAATCTTTTCATATCTGTTTCTCAAGTCTTTTATTTCAGATCGTCAGCTAAGTCCCATCAATCTATTCCGCTCTTTAGTTATAAGAATAATTTCATTACAGAATAGTCTGGCAAAGCCGAATTGTGGAATTTATTCCGTGTCAGTTATTTCACCTGTGTAACTGACCCCATCCCACCAATACATTTTAGTCCGATACACTTCCGCTATCAGCAATTTTGACCTTGAGGATACTCAGAAACAAATAAGCCATCTTATTTACTCGCGCTCAGTTGGAACTAACAACATCCTGAGCTTTCTTACTAAACTGCTAAGGAATTTTCTTCGTCCACGCAGCGAAGTCATTTCAGTATTTCTCGAGAATGTTCTCCTGTCCGCTTATTGGAAACTTTCTGTTGTTGGCGGAGTAGCAGTACGAACAAAGAAATACGAGGCTGGAATGGTCACTGTTGGCTTATTAGCCGTCATCTGCCAGTCAGGGTTTAAATCTGGCTCTCGTTCTGATGTCCGCAGTTAACAGTGTTTCTAAAGAACCCTCTTTCATCAAACTGTTTGGCAAAATAATTATTGATTTTAGCACAACCAACCAAGCCCTTTGCTCTTCCTAACTCCGCTTCTCGCCCTTTTGAGAAACGTCACTTCTTTTCAGAATCTACTTACTTCTCTTCGTAAATATCACCTCCTGGTGGTCGTTATTTATTTCGACCTTAGTCAGTCCTCTAATAAGTGCCACATAGACTATTTTAAGTCAAACGCATGGCTTCAAGAATTTGCAGTCTCTTTAGGTTTAAACTGCATCAGTAATCTAGACCTCTCGCCACCTGTTGACGTAGATGCCCAGACTTGTGGCCTTATTTACAATAATTTTTACCTCCAAGAAATTAAAATAAAGCTTTGTAGGATGTGTGTACTTCGTATTCTTGGACATTGCTGCTCATTCATTGTTTACTAACAAGTCTAGCCTCGATAAAATTGAAAATGTCCAAATGCATTTTACTAGAGAACTATGATGCCCGACACATCCAAATAATTCCTACCCAAACAGATGCAATCCAACTAGACTAATATTTCTGTGGGTTTGGAGACTGGAAGCTAGATTCAGTTTACATTCCCACATTACTATTAATTCTAATCCTCCTTGAATTCTAGCCATTGCCTTTTTTATTCGTCTGTACAACATTCGCAATTCTTCCCTGATTATTTCTCCACTCGACTACCCCCCACCCTTCTAAACTCTTTCTCTTCTTTGATCCCGGGAATAACTTTTTTGGAATAACCTGCCGATAGCCGTTAGATTGCCAAATAGTTTGTCCGTTTTATGAGTTGTCCAGGCCTTTATCTTAACATTGACTCTATTAACACTTTTATTTTTCCCATCAATACCGAACAGCCTTCCCACGGTCCTGAAAAAGGGTCACTGGGAATTCGAGCGACCACCTCGAGATTGCCCTGTTTGTTGACGCTTTCCTCTCCGCGTATGGTCCCTATTAACATGATCTCTCATAAGAAATTTCGATTTTTCCAGTCTAATGATCATTACCTTCATGGAAAATGGTTTTTACCCTAACCCACTCCTCGGAACAAAAATCGAGGTCGTATTGATGCTCACGTTCTGAACCGCATCCGTTTCGTTCACTGGTCACCCTCATCAGGGCTTTATTGTAATCGCTGAGGTGTCATGTCTTCACCCTCCACTCTCGACCCCATCCTAGGTCTACAGCAACCTGGCAGCTCCATACACACTCCAATGACACTTTTTTCTCACTTGTCGACCTGCCTTTAAATTTGCACCGTATCCTCAAGATGGATCTTCTGTACTTCTCCATATCCCCTCGCGAAGCAATTTATTTCATTCTGAATATTCTTCGAAAGTGCGGGCTCCTTGAACTATCCAAGCACATTCAGTTCAGAAGTTTTCCCCCTGCATCGGCCAGAGCTCAGACATTTTTATAAAAATATTAAACTTGAAATCTGTGGAAATTACTATCACAAGTATCATTTGTGAAAATAAAAATCACCGACGGACGTTAAAAAGACTTTCTACTTTATGTAACACAATTCACACAGTCTGATATACAGCAAGCTGCCAAGCAGACTTTTAATCCAATATTGTTGCCCTTTCTTAATCATTTAAATGAATGTTAGTTTTCCAATGACAATTTCGACGGGCGATGAACAACAAGACTATTATTATTACATCGTGATGGTGTGAGAGGAGATCCTTTAAGTGGATGAAATAGTTTCTGGTCGGTGAGTCACTGTTTGTACATGTTGGCGGTCGGCAGTCAACTGAAGTGACAGTGTGCAGATACGAACCACAACATTAGTAATAGGCCAAGGTGTGCTGCCATACAAGATCCCCCCAAAATAGCCTTAAAACCTATTCTCTGATTTATAGGTTGTTGCGCAAGGAACTGATAAAACTCCTTATATCGTGCATTGCTGGGACTGCGCCCCTATGGGATGACTTTTTCCAACTCAACACTGCACCTAATCTCCAGGGACATCTCCTCAAACTACGTGTGCCCCACTGAAGATGGAAAGTGAGAAAGAATTTTTTCTCCAATCGTGCCGTGGAACCGTGGAGTAACCTGTCCGTGTGATTTTAATGTCTCTGTCTGTGGGAACATTCAAACATCAGTCTGACAAACACACGTTCCAGCAACAAGCGGACAGTGGGTTTATGTAACCATTAAAATCAATGAACTATGCGAGTCTAGGTCAACATCCATTTAACGCTGAGAATTCTGTACATTATCGCCAATTATTTTGATTTTTATATGACGAATAGAGGGTTCGAAGGTGTAAATATATTCGTCCCAAATACATTGACCGGCTGACTGACTGACTGAATGTCCTCTAAGAAAATCGAAATAACTAGGGTTTCAGTTATTTGTTCAGTGTACTGGAGAGCACATGCGATCGCAAATGGTCTTTTTCACAATCTAACGCAGTATAGAAATAAAACTTACGGAGTAATACGTTATCTCCACTTAGAGATCTGTGGTTCAAAAGAGCATTTTCGGTCATGTAGGACGATGGTCATTCATATGTTGGCCTTAAAGTACTACCTAAAGGGTAGCTAAGATCGGAGCACCGATTATACAGAAAATATGTTAAACTAAAGCTGCCTACGGAACCATGCCCTGTTGAAGGCACGATAGTCAGAAACGAGTTTTCCACGGCACAATTACCGCATAATTATTCGGATAAGCAGTAAAGGCGTAAACTTAGGCGTGCAAATTGCGTCGTCCGACTGACTCTCCGATCGTCTGAAATAAATATCTGGGTCAATTACTCAGCCATTGCAAAGATGATTTCTGTCAGTTTCAGTGTACGTAGCACTATATTCCTATGGCTAGCTCGAAGACAGCAATCTTTATACGTCAACAACAAAACTGAGGTCAGACTCTTACATACTCAAATAATCGACTGTCTCGGTGGATAATTTTGCGTTGTATCAGAGCATGGACATTCGCGATGGGTTTTGAAATAGGCAAACATAACTCTTTGGAGGTATATACTTCCACGTATATGAATTGGACTTAGAACTTTGAGTAAGCTAACACTCCGGTGGGCTATCCAAATTGGTAGATGGGTGCTGGTTCCTCAGCTGCGGTTTCGCGGGTCAATGAGTCCAACCTTATATGTCACGAAACCGTGAATGACTTGTCCACATTTGAAATCAAAAGGTGCTTGTGCAAGCATCCTGATTTTAGAGATATGGTCCTAATTCAATACACCCGAAAGAATGAAGTGAACCTGCCTCAGCACATCTCAGGAAGTGTTACATTGAAGGCAGTTGCCGAACAACATTTCGCGTACGAGTCTATGCTGGAAAGAATTAACTCCGGTAATGCCGCACGCTCCTTGTAACTGTTGCACTTAGACAGTCAGGCATCTGAATCACCCGTCAGTCGTTCGTGCATACTCTTCTTTTCTGGACCCCAGACTCTCGTCACTTTTTCTTACCGTTGAACCGGTCCTGCCCTGCAAGACTTCGCTGAGTAGTCTGCGGTTTGATGAGTTCATTGGCGGACTGCATTCCATCCTCCAAGGTCTTGACTTCCTGCATACCCGCGTAATTTCGATTGCTTTTTATCATTCTTCCAGGCTATGTTGTCACACAACAGCGTCCAAATCGAGAGTGTTTTTCTCGACTCAAAAAGAAGATGGAAGCTCTGTGGCTTTGAGTTTTGCACTCCCCTAAAGGAACTTGATTCGCATAAAATCGCTGTGATAGAGTCATTAAAGAATAAGGACCGTGACGAAAGAGTAAGTTGGTGTCTGAATGCTTATTTCAAAGGCCACTAGGTATGACAGCAAAGCGCCTCACTGTTATGATATATACTGCTTCAGTCGCATGGTCCTTGAAGTGCTGAAGGAGCAAGGTACGCATAGCCGTTGGCGCCCCCCACGTTCTACTTAGACTATGATGCTGCCGGCCTTTCACCTGTGTTGGAAAAGTCGTGTTTGCATGAATCACCGAAAGAACGGCTGTCTGCCTCGAAATTATTGCTTCATTCCATTTTCAAAGGCTCCTACTCCATGGCTTTCTCGTTTTTATCGAACTACATGCTGAAGTCGGACTCTGAAAAGTTCTTGTTCTTTGAGTAAGTAGTGCCATAATTCTAGAATGTTTCTTTGCCGGCGCGGTATTCTCTTCTTTGTTTCCATTTCATCCGGTTATGCGATAGTCCAACTTTTCATGCCGATTTATGCCTAAGAAGCATTCACTAAAGCATGCTTTAATGTCATCATATTTAAAGGTGGGAAATCTACACGCATATCTAGATCCGCACCATATTATCTTGTGATGTTAGATGTTTTCGAATTCCTTGCTGACAAAGTCTTCTTTCTCTTCTGTTACTAACCACGATTTCGCTTACTTTCACCGAGAGTCTCCTCAACCTGCGCAACCAATCCGAACTAGTGTATTTTCTGGCAGTTTTTAATCATCGACCACGGAAGGCAGATCTTGCCACTGATACTTCGTTTTTGACATCAACATTTTTCTTTTATTGTTTCAGAAACTTTCCATCCCTGATTGAAGACATTCCCGAGGACTTGTTTTGCAATTCCATAGTCCCTTTTCTGCTCTCTCCCTCAATTTTCACCGACTTCCCTTCCCAAAGGACCGTAGGCCTTCTCCTAACTCCATTCAAAGGTAATTAACATGTACCTAATTTCAAATTAACCATTTCCATCGGTGCAACAAGCGGAACTGCGTAGACGCTCCAAGACTCCATCACTATCATTTGACATCCGGGGCACCCTTTTGATCTCATTGCTTAGATTCCAAAGGTCGGTCCTCTACGGGTTTTATCTCCGAGAGCGCCTTTCGCCGTCTGCTTGGTCCGCGCATTACGCTCCTCTTCCAGACCCACGAACTGAATACACGCCTGCTTTTGCTTAAGCATTTTTCATCCTACGCCCGCCTGTTAGGATCCGATGCTCTCCAAAGGATAATTTTACCCGAGGTAACTTTCACATATCCGCTGAGTGTGCCCATTTGCGAGCTCTTCTGTATTTGCCCTACTTTTATCCAGTAATAGCGGAAAGATCTTTAAGTACTCTATGTGTAGATGCTGTTCGTCTGAACTTGTTCTCTATTTGTCATCCCGGAACGCGCATTCAACAGCCCCTCTGGTTTTCTATCTCATTCTTCAAAAAGTCATTCCACTGTTTATAGGCGCTACATAATCTGCCTGAAACTCAAAAAAGCAACCAAATTGCCTTATGATATTTGCGACCCATGAGAAAGTTACCCGCTTATCACAGAGGAAATTGGATTCGCTCAGTTCAGCGCTTCATCATGACGTCTACACAAGATCTCGGCCGTGCAATTTCCATCGAAGGGTGGTAAATACTGCGCACAATGGACGTTTTGTTTGGAATAAATTATCCTCTTGCGTGCGGATTGTGTTACCACATGTCAGCAGGGGTATTAGCAAAGGTGTAGGGAAGACTGTGAGGACGAGGGGGCCCACAGTCGGCAGTCTAGTAACTTGTACAAAATCGGGGGTCGGTGATCGACTCCGCCTGACAACGAGTTCTCTAACGTGTGGGCCTCCCGTCTCCCATAACCTGCCGTCCGCAAATTATAGACTATGCCAAGATTGTGTGTTGCAAGTCGGTATTTTATGCACTTAGAACACGGCATGCTCATAAGACTCGCATGTCCTCCGAAGAACTTTAACAAGTCATCCCACATTGCTAGGGTGGGATACAGAGGCAAGCATGAGCCATTGAAGCATATCTGGGGCGATCGGCATGTGTTAAAAAGCCGACCCAAAAACCTGCTGATATTAGATTGTGCGCAGTCTGAAGGTAGCACCACAGAAAGTCTCTAAACTATTGTTTTGTTTCAAATCGGAGTAATATAATTTTTATAACAGGATTTCAATCGTACTTATGTGCTTACCAAGTGAACTCTCGATCAGTCCTACCCTAACAAAATAATTACGTGCATAACAACACTGGTTAACAGCGAATAGACATAAACAACTCGGGTAAATAATCGTGAAGGAAGGTCGCGCAAACATGTCCTTTATAATAAAGAAATGTGCAAAAGTATCTAGACCTCACACGTCTTGATTTTGCAAGCCACAAGTATGTAAAAAACGGCAGTTTTACCGAAACCCCGTTCGTGCATATTCCAGGCCTTTGTATATTATCCTTTGTGCCGTCTTCCACCTTTCCAAACCCAACCAGGTCTGCCTGGGCCTGTACGATGCGTGTGACACCCTTGTGACTGCCAGCCTCACCGGCCTCTCACAGCTCGCGACAATCTTGGGTCCAGGACCGGTTTTGAGTCATCTCTCGAGCCTGGGGGACCAGTTGAAGTCACGTGGCCTACTCAACTTTGAGTCGCCGCCGCCGCCGCCGCAGTCGAATCACTCCACGACCAACACTACGATCTCTCTGGGCAGAGGGAGAACTGTCCGTTATACGCCCACCTCGAGGGCTTGGCGGCGCTGTGCCAACCTCTTCCCCGACTCGGCTCCCAAGGTCAGTGCACAGGCGCGAGATGCCGTCAATACTGCGGCCGCACCACCACCCCGTCGTCTGCGTGACGTTGCTGCGCTCTCGGCAAACTACACACCGCCCGTGGTGGTAGCTCCCTCTCGAGTACCACTCCCGCCCGTCACCAAGTGGGTTTTCTTTGACAAATGCTGTCCTGTCTACTTTTTTTCCTTGCAGGAAACATTATTAACAAGGACTAGAGGGGAACGTGAACTGCCGGTTCTGACTACTTTATCCTCATGGGCCAGAAATGATCTGAACCCGCACTGTGGGGAGACCTGAGTTTCGAATCCGGGGCACTGGTTATTCAGCTCGCATCCTGCCGGTCGACATCGAAAATATTCACCCATACGAAAGTTGCATTTACCGGTCTGTCCTGACTGTGTACGTTTCGCGTTTTGCCTTTGAGTTCCTGTTTGGAATCCTCGAAGGAGGTTGCATACGGATATGCAACCGGTAACCCCGGAGGTGCTATCGGCGAAGGAGAAGACTGGAATGGCTAACTTTGACAGCTGTTATCATGTGCTCTCAAGGAGCCGCGTTGGAACTGACATCATCTTTTATCCCACTGCTCACGCAGTGATTTGCCCCTTGGCATTTTTTTCATCCGATGTAGACGAAACAGTCTACTGCACCCAACCTCCGGTCTCCCGGAGAGAGAGAGCGAGACGTAAAGTCAGTGCGCAGTACGCTGGTCCTCGCACTCACAAGCAGAGTACGTCTCCTCCGAGGAATTGCATGCAGCTCACGACCTTCCTCTTTTCAGTGTCGAGGTGCTATTCTGTAAGCTTGGCGACGAAGGTTGGTGCCGGGTGAGCATCAAGATCATGAAACGTTGGCAGCCTTTGAAAGTTTTTTTTGAGGATTTTTTTCTCTGTTGGCCACGCCAGTTGGCGTTTTCGTTGAACTTTTTCCTTAGCCCCGGAGTTTACCCTTAAAACCCGTTTTTTGCCTTGTAGAACCTCACGTCCACACAATGAGTCTCAACGTAAGTCCGCCCGCTATTTACGTTTGGGATATCAACCTTGGGGACACCTCCATATGTCCGAGAAGCCAGAAATGACGGTTGTATAGGAAACACCAGCGGAACCATAGGCGGTGCATCTACTGTTCATTCTAGTGAAAGTGATTAGAAGTCTCTTGTTCCTTCCCAAACCCATTGGGGAATAGGTTGAACGCTGTTCAGGAAGATGAAGATGGTTGGACCTCCGGAAGGCGATGTGTATCTTCCCGAAATTTTAAAACCGTGCTCGACTTGCAGCCATAGAATGAGCCGAATGTGTCAAAATTGGCTTTTCTACAGGCTGTAATCCGAGCCGATCAGTCTTGTGCTTGTTTCTGTTGCAGATGACTGCGTAGCGCCTAGTTCTCGGGCGTGTCAGTGTAGCTCGAGTGGTAGTGGGAGTCCACTATGTGGTCATTGATTTGGGCTAGTTGGTCACCGTGTCTCGCTGTCTGTCACGGTCAGTCTTGCCTGTACAACTGATAAGCAGTCATCACGTTGGGTGCCGTTGATGACGGCTGACCTCTCATTCCTTGCTAATTGACTCTGCGTGAATCGTCATTATATCGTGGCACCGGATTGACGGGCAACGTCTGTGCACAACGCATCAAGGCCAGCACTATCCGCCTGCTTCATTTCTGACACCTCGCATGTTTTTTGCTTGACCACCCCAGTCCCGGTTTCTCTCTCTAGGTACCTTCTCGACAATATTTGCATCTCTCGAAAATTCGTCTGCCCACTCTCAAGTTGGCGGTCGGGAGTCTAACTCACCTGAACTGCCAGCTTCCGCCGCGAATCGCTCAGTCAATGCGTCTGTGGGTCTGGAGGCCGATGTAACTTCGCCTGGGTCAGAGTCGAAACCCCCAGCACCTTCTACAGCTGCTTACGTCGTAGTCAATGGTGAAGCGGCTTCACCGGTTAGTTTGAGCAAATTGATTTTCTGCCTGTCTGCCATTGAGAACCGTTCTCTCATATCTATCACTCCAGATGCACAGATTTTCCGTAAATATGGATTAGTACGCATAAAGTTCGACTGGGGCATCTATCTGATTCGTTTCGCGCTTTTTTCATAGCCGACATTGCCATTTCAGTAGTGTAGCCGTTGTCATCATGAGATAGATATTTTCTGAGGTGTTGGGACGATTTCGAAGTCTTCTATATTTGCATTGAAACCTTACCAGAACCACCGATTTCTCAACGCCCACTGGTGCGTCTCTTACATTCGACATGGTCTTGGCAGCTCTCCTGGTTTAAGATGGGGAGGAGGAGGGTAGGACCATTCGGTTCAAAGGCTGATTGACAGTTTGCACTTCCGAGTTGCGGACACCTATCTAGTGAACGACTTGATTCCCTCTTTTCAAGACGCGAAAGCATCCCCTTTATGCGCCATTGGGTGGTTTCCGTTTAGTTACGGACACCGGTCGATATTACATACCACTGGCGTATGCGCCAAAGTTGCGAGTTCTCTTTCATGCAAGTGTGTGTCCAGTGTGTGAGTGGCTTGGCCCGCCACTACGGGCTGGGTCGCAGATATAATAAACCGAAACGGAGATCAGACCGGCTCACGGCGCGTGTTTATCGTGCTACGCAGAGTCCGCCCGAGCTCGTAGCTACGGCCGTACACGCATGTGTGTTACACGCCTTAGTTGAAGGCCTTCACACAGTCAGCCACTGCGCCCAGTCCCATCATCAGCTGGTTGACAGACTCGGATAGTTGATTGGTTTTTGGGAGAGGGGAGAGGGAGCGAACCTGTCCCCACACAGTGAATCAGCCCATTCTGCACTCATGCATCTAACGTGCTTGAATCTATTACGAAGCGCCACAAGTGTAGTGGCTTTGAAAGTTGTCAGTTGACGGGATACCTCTGTCCTTATTGGGACTGAGGGTCAAGCTGTGTAACGACTCTTTTGTGACACTCACCTGTGTGAGGGCCGAACCCCGCCTACAATAGCCTGGTAATGTGGAGTGGGATAAGGTCGTGTGTGTGGCACGCGTAGACAGGCTGTTTAGATTTGTTGGCCACTGCGCTCGAGAGCATCTCAGGTCGTCGGGACTGCATCACCGTCGGAGTCCAGGTGGGTGAGGGAGGAGAGTGTGGTAGATGCTACGCAAGCCTGCCACACTGTAAACTACTTCAGCCTTGAGTCATAACTGCTGCGCCTACTTAGTAGGGCACGCGTTGCCTGTTCGTTTGTGGCGGTGAGGCTGTCGGTTGGTCTCTGCTAAATGAAGAATGAGTTCGCTGTTACAGACACCAACCGCATGCAAATCGAGTTGTGGTGGGATGGCAGAGGTCACGGACTGGCAACCACTTACCAGCTCGATTTCGAACAAAATATCACGAAGACTTTGTCTCCGACTTATTCTGCCGTTTATTCAGGCAATCATAACCCTGACCACCACCGAGGACCAGAAATACGAACAGGCGCGGACGCTGTCGTTAACAGTGAGAGCCATCACTATCCCCACGAGCTGGGCACGCCCATCATTGGCTTGCGCATGAATTCGCTTCTAGTGACACAAACTTTCGCCTTATCGACCGCACACCCTCGTCAGATGTCCACCGTTTTGAGATGGCGAGACATGGTCCGGATGGCCGGACGTGAGTGTGGGCGCTTTGCCAGACAAAGCTGGGCGGCCCATCTACGCGTGCCACGCACGGTCTGGCCATTAACGCAACACGTACCAGGCGCCACTCAGGGTAGGTCTCGGCCCTCACGCAAGTGGGTGTCACGAAGAAGCCATTGCATCCAGACTTTAAGTCCTGAGTAGATCCGGCCATTTGGCAACCGTCCAGGTATGTCGTAATGCATTCAGACCCGTCTAATTTTTCACAAGGGTAGATTCCTATTCAGTGTCGGCGTCTCTCTCTTCTTTCCCCATGCGCCGGTGGATTGTTCTGACCTGTCAACCAATTGACGACGATATTGTCCGCCGTAGCCGGGATGTAGTGAAGACCTCTGCATGCACAACAGTAGTTGAGGGCAGGCTCACTCCAGCCCGGCAAACCCGGCGGTGGGGGAGGGGGAGGGGGGTAAGCTCGCGCAGACAGAGTTCATCTGATGGAATTCTAAGTGGGGAAGGGGAGGAACTGATGAACTTTGCTTCAATCACCTGTGCTGTGTGCGTACAGCCATGTTAGCGTTTCCTGTCCCAGATGACGGTCGGGCTTGTGACTGACTGACTGAAGACAAAATTAACTGGGAACAGCGTTGTATCAATCTAACCGCAAAAGTATCCTGAGCATACTGGCCCCAAATTTCAGTTAAAGTTTCTCTAGGGTCCTAAATTCCAATTTTTCCACCACGCCATCTGTTGAGCAGTGGGTAAATCGGACATGCAGAATCCTTGCCATGTAAAGCGCAGGTAGATCTTGGAACCAAAGATCCGAAAATTTGGCGTCAAGAGCCACGGGAAATCTGGGCACCTATCTCGGATCACATTGCCGTCTTTTCAGTCCGCTCAAGAGTTTTGGCCGTTTGTGTCTTGAACCCTAACAGGAGGCATGTTTTGCCCCCCCAGACGGGCCACGGCGTAGATGCGCTGGACCAATACGGAGGCCATATCGGATTCTGGCAGGCGTTATCGGATTGCAAAGCATAACAGATACCAACATTTCGGGATGTGGTGGCAGGCTCGGTTGTCGGCAGCCGTTGCGCACACTGCGTCCTCTGCCGCACCCCATTGTAGTTGTTTTTGGTTAAAAACCTGGTCATTTGCTGTGTGAACCAGGGGGTGTGGAGTGGAGCGCCTAGGTGTGGGCTTGACCATGCCATCCACCTGCGCCTCCCGCCTCCTGTCTTCCTGACCCTGTCTTGACACCGAGTCCAGGTGGGGAGGGGGGAAGGAGAGAGCGCGGTAGATGCTGTGCAAGTCTACTGCCACTATAAACTACTTCACGCGCAAGTCGCCGTCCATGCTCTCGCCATGCTGTGGAGCGCGCGGTGGACATCGTTGGTGACGACGGTTTAACTGTCGTCATAGAAAGCATGCCATCGAACCAGCAGCAACACGGTACGCTTTAAACTGTTATGGGCGCCTAGTAGTCACCGTGGGTTTAGTGCATACGCTTCCGAAATAGCCACCTTGCCTCTCACCTATACTCCCTCAGCCCGCTTAACTTCCACTTGCCAAGACTTTTAAAAGGTTCCACCGACGCCCGACACCAGAGCCTGTTCATTGTGATCCTGCTTTTCAGAAAACCACCACGGAACGTCAGCCAGCAGAGGCATGGAACGACTGGAGTGATGATGATGATGCTGCTGCTGTTGGGGAAGAGGAAGAGGAGGAGGAGGATGACGGAGTTAGAACCCAGGGGGAGCAGACGGTCAAGCAGAATGACATCGACGAGGCAATCTCAAGTCCACTGGCGAAAATTTCGCTCAACGACTCCGGAACTGCCGCGGTCGGCGCCACAATGAGCCACCAGCCCGAGTTATCTCCAGTGAACACAGCAGTAAGCGTGCCGACTTTCGTAACGCGTAGGCCCAGTTGTGGTTTAAAGTCTGTTCACTGTTCCAATTGAAGTGTCGGTTTTTCAACGGACTGGGCCAAACAAAGGTTGGCGCAGCGTACCTTTATCTACTTCCATTTAACATGTCGGGTTATTGTAAAGTCCCACTCTTCTAAATGACAGACTTTGGCAGAATTGATCGCCTATTTCGAGCAGCCGAACATTATAAGTTACTGTGTTTGTACAGCTGTAATCACGCCTGACCTAGCCGATCTTGATGATGATGTCGATAATTGTACCTTTTCATGTGTGGCGATCTGCGACAGCAGATCTGGATAGCTCGATCCAGTGCCCTCTCCAGAAACGGAGGCCGAATACCGAGGATCCAGTAACCACTTCCATGTCTCGGAGAACTGTGTCGAGCCAGGTTTTGAGTTGACCTCTCCCACACCTTCAGGCGGACAATGATCTCTGCTCCAGGACAACAACAGTGAGCTCACGAGATCGGCGGTGAAGAACTCACTTAAACCGCCCCAGCTGTCCTTGAATGACCCATGATATCCTCAAGATGTTGTCGCAGCAGGGGAATCAGTCACGTCGGGGGGGGGGGGAGGGCGCAGACGAGCAGTCATTCCAGTGACAGTGAGCCAAATTGCCGAGTAATCATCACGCCAACATCGAACGCGGAGGATGAGATCGCGTCGGAGTCGTTAATGGCCGCGATTTCGTCATTCGTGTTGGATGCTGGCATGACGCTTGCTCGGCAAATTGGCTGACCGTCACTGGAATGACTGTTCGCCCGCGCCCTCCCCACGTGACTTATTCCTTTGACCATGGAAAACCTCAGCACATAATACGGTAGCGGGAGGTCATTGGGTTTGCTGATGGATTGCGGGGATTTCGGCGTCTTGTGACCTGAAATTATGGCCAGCTTCCGTCGAATGAGCCACTACATAACAACTAGCACCTTCCCTCCTCACTGTTGCTGCGTGCACCGCCATTCGTGTCCGGAGTAATGTCTCAGTCTTCCCGGCGTTGTTGCTCTGTCCGCAACTGTACCAGACCCGGTAAACGACTCCAGACGTTTCCTGTCCTAGCAGAGTCCTTTGGCTCCACGACCTGGCGCCTGATGGTCTCCTCCAACCTGTGTGCAATCCCAACTCCACGTGGGATGAGGAGGCGACTGACAGCTTCCGAGGCGTTCTTCACGTACAGAAGAGCTCGCCAGAATTTAGGGCTGGTTCGACTTGTTCTCTGGTGTCGTTTGCGTTTGCACTGTTGGACAAAGTTGCGCGGGTATCCATTAGCTTTCAGTACTCGCCAAATTTATTGTAACTCAGCAATATTGTCTTCCGTCTCGCTGCAATCCGCAACATCCGTCATCAACATCAACAAGCGCGATGGCCTCCCGTTGCCGTATTCTGGCCAGGGGAATCAGTCACATGGGGAGGGCGCGGGCGAGCAGCCGTTCCAGTGACAGCGAGCCAAATTGCAGAGTACTTATCACGCCAACATGGATGAAGAGAGCTAGGCCATTAATGACTGATAAGTGGACTGACAAGCCATCATCGCATTTATTACGACCCTCGGCGGTGATCGCGAGAGCGCCAGTCGGAGGTATTTGAAACTCTACTTTTGCAAGTGGACAGCCATTAATCCTGATCAGGCACCGATCGATTTTACACCAGAGGGAAACGTAGACTTGAATCGGCTATTTACGGCTCCTTTGCCCTTTTCATCCGGGCAGACCACAACCAGAAGTCAAGCGGGGCCTGCCTTGTCCTGTAACCTAATATTCTGTCAGTTAAACCGCCTGTCCGCGCTCTATCGGCTGCAGTCGGGGATATCTGACGTGGCCTTCATGGGTCCACGTTGCTGACATTCAGTAACTCCCTATAGCTCTCCTTGCGGAAGGTTGCATAGGAATGAAATACCATTGGTCGAGGCGCTTAACTGGCGAGAGTGAAGTTTGAACAGCCATTTTTAGCTTATTTGCCATTGTCAAGCCCCAGTTTAGATCTGGTCCTTCCAAGATCTTCAAGTAAGGTGATGGGAAGCTGACCTCGGGGTAAAATTTGCCGATCATTAGTCTCTGTCCGCTGTGCCAGCTTACTTGCGTTGACACCGGGTTCAGGTGAGTGAGTGAGAGGAGGTAGTGCGACAGTCGCCGCCTCACCGTACCGCTCTCAGCACGCTGTGGATGACACGGTGGACATCGTCGTTCGTGACGGCCGAGCGAAAATAGAGCACAGGGGAATGACCAAGGTCGAACCGCAATTCAACCAATCAAACAGCGTCCTTGCGTGGCTAGTGTGCCCAATGGACTCCTAGCTCATCGGATTGGTTGAGTAACCCTCCAATCCTGTCGAGAGCTGACGCGACACCAGCGTGCAGACGGCGCGTGGACGGATCGTTGGGGCGACGTTCTAACAGACCGTCGATATCTGGATTCAGCCATGGAGAACAGAGCGTACTGAGGTCGGTTAGTTCATGCGGGATAGCAGATGGGTCAGGTAAGAGTAAGGTGATCTCATCACAGAGTGTCGGAGGTCCCAATTCGAGCAACTGTGGCGGGTTCAGTCCCTTACCGCAAACGTGTATGGTTTATAATGATCTTGGGCTTTATAAATGCGACTCCTTATCGTCCCTCCCAGCGTTATGTTTTTTTTTAATGCTTGCATTTTTAGCTTCAAATGCGTCTAAAACAGGAGGCGCAGGTCGCTGAACTACTTGCAGAGTTGGAGCCACCGGTATCGTTCAAGTCTGTGCCAGTGAAAGAGAGGCCGGCCCCCGAGGTCCCAGACAAGCCAAGTATTCTCCGCTATCAGGCTGACGTAAGCGGGTTTCTACCTACTTGGCAAACTCTTTCTTCCTCGCCCCTCTTCTTGCACTGTCTCATTTTCTGGAGAGAAGACTGCGCATCCATCTTCTCATGTCTCCACAGTTATTCCTTTGTACTTATTTTCCGGACTTATCTTAGGTAGACTCAGTTAGACTTGAATGTTATATCTAGCCTTGCTCCTACTGGCTTGTCGTTCACAGCGTGTATCGAAGAGTCATGGTGGAAAGCCTTTCAACAACCAGAGGTGGGATCGTGAGTGATTAACCACTCGGGGAGCGCGCAGGCCGGTGAGCCAGATGGCCGAGCAATCATCACGCCAGCATCCAACACGGGTGATGAGATTTCAGCAATTAACTGCTTGCATGCCGGCCACCAAGCCGTTAGCGCACCAGCGGGCAACAATTCTTGATTAAGGGAAGAGCGGTAAATTACCACAGGTATGCAGTAGCATAGCGACTGCATCCTATAAATACTGCAACTTCCTGTGAACGAATGTCAGTGTTTCTGTTGATGGGTGCAAGTGAGAATCCGAAACGTCGGGCGAAAAAGTTCTCGTCCCAGCGATCGCTTCTACTTCTCCCCAACTAGTTCCTGGAACTTGCATCTTCGCTTATACCGGCAGTGTGTTTACAATGAGATGGACTTGCGATTCATCCATCCATCTCACTCCTCCCACGCTTTTAGATGCCGGCTAAAGCCGAGGCAACTGGGGATGAATGTGGGCGCAGTAACCAACAGGGCTGAAAAACCTGTCTTAGCGTACCCCACGCGTGTCGGACTCCCTTGGAGAGGGGGTGTCAGATCTGAGGTAAGGGAGGATGTCCTAAGGGCCACCTCTAGAAGGTGCCACTGCAGCCTGACTGTTAGTCCTGACAGGCGGACCGAGTTATCCTGTCAGGCGACAACTCTTAGCGCGTCTTCAGAGATTCAAGCGTTTCAGGAAGTCGTCTTGAAGAAGGAGACACGATCGCTGGGACAAGAGCTTTATAAGCCTGGCGTTTCGGATTCCTGCTCGAACCCATCATCAGAGAAAAAGCAGATACGGGTGATTCATGCACAAGGGGCTGCAGTATTTATAGGATGCAGTCGCCATGCTACCGCATACCTATGAACATTCACGGCTCCCTTCTTCATCCGAGATCGTCGCACTTGGTGTGCTAATTGTCAGCTATAATAGTAGTAGGGAAAACGCTAAATTGCAGTGGAGGCGCGGACTCCCTAGTGTCAGTCCTCTCTCTCTCTCCCCTCCTCTCTGCATCGGTCGACTGTTCGAACCTGTCAATCAGCCGATGAGGTGATTGGATGCAGTGGCTGACGCGGCGTGAAGGCCGACGTCTAGGTGTGCCACCAGGCTCAGCCCATGTGCTGCAGTAACTATAGACCCACGCGGCCCCCCATAAACGCGCACCTTGAGCCAGTTTGACCCACTTTTTGGATCAACAGCGCAGTTCCTCGTGTTGGAGGTCGAGGTTTAATAGTTCCTTCGCGGGCGATTTCTGGCTGTTGCGGCTTAAGACGATCGAAGTAGTCCTGCTCTCCACCCAGTGGCAGTCTAAAGTCATGGCTAGGAAGGGTTTCGGTCAGCGTGTAAAAAGGTCCGTGTTGTTAAGAGGTGGTTGTCCACTCAGCGAAGCGATTCACTTGCTGTACAGGCTGGAACTACGTCTTCGGATGGCCACCTCGATGCAGTATCTCGCCAGCACCGGTCCGGGCGGATAGAAGACCCGACCGAAGGAGTCCGACTTCAGGTCTACGCGACACTGAAACCCAGACTAGATATGCTGGTTACTTCTGGTTAGCCTAAGTTGTGATAGGGCACTCGCATAGAGCTATGAGCCTGTTAGACGCTGCCACTGTGGGGTTGCTTACCTACGCGGTCAGAATCGGTCACCTCATCGGCCCACACGCACAAACTGGCGAGAGGCGCGCTGACCTTACGGAGTGACTAGCGCCACATACACCCCTCGCGCCTGACAGGGTTTGTGGCCAGGAGCCGCCCATGTGCTTTGACCTCAGCTTACACATGCCGCATACGAGCTCTCTACACAACTCTGTTGCGCCTTGAATCCTGCCAGTTGGTAAGCGCCTTGTCACCTGACTTGTTAACTCTGTTCCTCCCAGAAATTAAATGGCTCCTCGATGTGGCCTTGAATGTTCGACCGTCGTTGCCGACGCTGTCTACAGCGAGATGAGAGCAGGCACGGGGATTTGTGCGTGAATTAGTTTATAGTGATGGAAGACTTACAAGGCATCTACCGCACTCTCCCCTCCTCCTCCTCCTCCACCTCCTCCTCCCCCCCCCCTCCTCCTCCTCCATCTAGGCCCGGTGCCAAGACAAAGTCGAGAAGACCAGAGACGAGGGAGGACTCAGGCGGTTGGCGCTGTTGAGCCCCCGCCTTGGCGTTCCACTCCACACAACAAATGACCAGAATTTTAACCAATAACAGCAACACCACAACGGGGGTCAGAAGTACGACAAGGATGACTAGGCAGACATGCTCAGGACCTGTATACCGAGGGGAGGCGGAAGCGCATCCACCGGCAGGTAACCAGGTGTCAGAGAGCTGCCAGCGCATACCAGGTTGTTAGGGCCATGGTTTGCGGATCCTGGCATAGCAGACCTGGCCTATAGACCTTTAGGCCGAGGTGGCCTTAGTGGTACTCTCACGCACATGGGATCCGAGACGTCCTTAGGGAGGGGGGTGGGGCGGTACATCTGGAGTGGGCCAGGTCGTGTGTGGCACACGTAGACGGGATGTTTAGCCTCGCCGGTCACTGTGCCGGTGCCCACCACCGGTCGTCTTAGCATTTTTTTCTCATCGGAGCCTGGTTGATGGGGGGTGAGAGAGTGCGGTAGATGCTGCGCAAGTCTATCGCAGTGTTAACTAATTCACGCGTAAGTCACCGCTGGTAGGCAGGCGGACGTCGCCGCTTGCGATGGTCGGAATTCGCGGGTAGACTTCCTCGGGGTTCCTGGCGTCATCGGTGCCGTTGGACAAGCAGTAGCAGTCTACTGCTTCCTTTTTTGATTGGTTACTCTCATCTTCCAGTCTATACTTTCATCCAATGCTGATGAAGGGGGCGCTAACCTTCTATGCCCAAACTGTTGATGGTGACAACAATCTGAAATTGGCGGTCTCCGATCTGACTTTATTGCAAAACGGATTGTGGGCGCTCTCTGGTTGCAAACATTCCCGGTTACAGCAATCGGGACGCGGGTAGTTTTCGTAACGGTTATGGCGTTTAACCTTAGAAAGAGGTGAATCTGTGTCCGAGCCTCAGATATTGTGCTGGTGGTGACATACAGTCGTTGCATTAGCCCTTTGTGATTGCAGTCTACAAGGTGCATCCGTTCCGCGTAAAGAAAACCACATATTCTTCTATGCCTTTAAAAAGATGCCATATAGAGTCCATAAAATTTTGTATTGGATGTGGACTATGTTGTAAATTTCATGGGGAACAGTGGTAAGCAGACAGGCACTATGCTGTATGAATGGACATTGCACGGTTTTAAATTTCATTATGAGAAACTTTTTTAGAATCTAATTATACCCCTTCTTCGAGTATAAAATATAAGAATGACATGACTCTCTATCAAACGAGTGAAAGAAAGCATGTTTTCGTTCATGTTTTCTGTAAAATATATTTGAGTTTACATGCATGCTACTTAAGTAGTCATTTCTTATCAAGTACGGTTTCTACAGGAGGTTGACAAGCGGTGCCTTCGAAAGCTGACACCCTGCCGAGTCCGAAATATTATAGGATTATGCCGCAAGATAATCAGTATTACAATTGCGCCTAATTAATCTTTCCTAATCGAAAACGCATTACAGGATTGCAGTCAATATTTCATGAGATCGGTCACTCACTGTACGCCATAAGTATTCATTCCCCCGTCTCTCCCTCTATGCCTCTCCGCACTCCCTCGTCTTTATGATGAGAAGGATTGTTATTACCATTATTCATGCCACTTTTGGCATCACTGTTTACCTGGACTGATTTATTGCCTTTCTGCCTGTCTGCATAGTAGTCATTGCCGATTGATTTTCCTTCTTTTAGCCCGCGCCGTCAGACTGGGGCAATGAGTGGGGCGATGACGATGAGCTGTAGAGGCCCGAAAGCCACCGCATACACACACACCAGCGCTGTGAACCTCTTCACCCCCTATCCCCGCCCCCCCCCCCGTTTTCTGGACCCTCCGCCTGCCCGACTTTCACACTTTCTGATGAAGCTAATGGCAATTGTTTTCACATCTGACTTGTCTTCTGTTTTTGCCAGTTCTCTCAACTCATCCGCAAAATGGCCGAAATCTTGGCTCTTGAACACCGGTCACCGGCGTTTGTATATAACGGACTCCGGCTTGTCAGTACACTTCGAGCCGAACCCGCCGGACCGATTAAGCGACTGGCCCAATTACTTAGAGTTGCAGTGAAGCACTACTGGCCCGAAAACTTCCTTAACGCCTGGCTACTTCGCTTTTCTTGGCCTCGCGTTTGGTGTCTTTGGAGTTTTTGACTACTACCCACTCAATTCGTCTTTTCGTCTCGCACGCGCGGTTGCAGGCATTGAGGCACTTCAGAAGATGAAGATGCGATCACTGGAACAAGAAGTGTATTTGCCTGACGTTTCGGATTCTCACTCGAATCCATCATCAGAGACATTCGCAGATAAAGGTGATGGTGGCACCAGGAGTGCAGTATTTATAGCACGTGGCTGCCGCTGTCCCACGTCGTAACCCCCCACGTGGTTGGTCAACAGCCTGCCTTTTTATCTTAGTTAGGTGTGCGAAAGATCGCGAAAGGGAGAGATTATGCGGGAAGAGGATTTTGACCTCCAACAGCGTTATTGATATTAAATTTGCCCGTTTTGGGCTCAAGGCTAGGGTTTTGGCAACGGTTAAAATTGGCGTTAGTTCGGTTGTCAAGCCTAGACTATGGTTTGGATTCAAGGTTGAGGCTTGGTTTGGGGTTTTAGGGCTTGGCTTGAGGTTAGGGTTATGTCGGAGTTTTCCTTATATACCTACGGGTCAGAAATTTCCCATTCCAGGCATGGCCATGGTTAGCGTTAGGTTTGCAGCCAGCTACGTATCATACCTTTGCTGAGTCAAGCTTCACAACAAGCGGGCTGCATTTTCCGTTTATTTTGGCATTTAGTGGTCGTTCGTGGAGGCATTGATAGAAAACTCGCATGCATTTGGGCATTTTATAGGCGGCCTCGAGGCATGTGTGTACACCGCCCTGGGTAAGGACGCCATACAAGACCCAGGATTACATGTTACACATTACCGCCTACTGAAGCCCACAAGAGTAGCCCTACTTTACCGTGAGCGACAGCGATGCCATCCGTTTAGTCACTGCACCCCACACGAAAATTTTTCACAAACGACGAGTATTACAATGATATCATCCGCACACGGTTGGCCGCACTTAGCCTTTGCATGAGTTGCCATCCATACCGGCCTCAGGTTGCCCTGGACCAAAATTCCCCCTCCGATCTATACAGCCTTCCAGATTCCTCGAAATTAGTATTTTTAGTTGGTTCTGCAGTAGACAGTATCGGAACAGAAGACGGTCAAATAAGCAGCGACCCGAAGTCTGGAAGATCATCGCCTGCATTAAAGGTGTATCCGAGACTGCTTCCCGACCATTACGACGGGCCAGAATAGGCATAGCCGTCGACCCCAGAATGCAATTAATCGCCGTTTGATACAACCTAAGGACACGCTAGCAGTCACTGAAACCTCGGCAGCTATCTGCGAAATGATGCAATGATGTGAACTGCGAGTACGTTGGCGGAACCGGACGAGCACACACAGGCAACTCGGAGACTAGACGCAAACTGTCAGCTTGCAAAGCAATATGGAGAAATTGGCTATACTTGCGACTTTCCGAGAGAGATCATCTTAGGTCATGGCAAGCAGAGAGGATTAACACCTGAGTCGTGGTATTCAGATGCCAACTCCATCAACAGGCATCTTGACTCCATCGCATCCTATAAGGTCCTGCGTCATTACGTGCACCAAGGCCAGAGCAAGAAGGTTAAACAGAACTTAAGAGAGCCACACAGACACGCGCCGACGACGAACTCGCCCGAAGGGGGAAGCCAAAGAGTCACCAGACCCCACGCGGAGGATCAATCATCCTCTACCAAGGCGATTACTCAACGCACGCAACTATCTGTCTAGCCCGCCAAATCTTCGCTGAAAGGCCGGGGCAGCCCAAGGCTGACTAGATCGGCACAACATTTACACTTCTTTTCGATTTTATACATTTGACAAGGGTGCGCCGACCAAGCGCCCCGAAACTTCAACGGTTCAACAAATTTGTTGCAGCGAGTCCTCTCTCCCTCTCTCAAGGAAGATTAGTGAAACTAAACATTAGGCACCTCTATACTCATAACTGGCGTATTTATAAAACCCGAATATTTTCCTCTTCAAATCTCCGGTTGCGTAAATTCTTGCAACAATAGCGCACAAGGTTAAATTCCCTTGGAAACACACGTCACTGCATGCAACTATCAGAAAATCGGTATGGTCAGGCGAACTCTCACTGAGGACGCGAAATGCTCCCAACTAAAGGCCACCACCCAGCAGTGGACGAACTACCGCGTAATGGTGTTCAGCGCTACGTGTCAGGGTGGCCTCACTCCTGATTGTCTCCTGTTTTTAGGGTCGGTTGTATAGATTAACAAGAGCACGCTCCATGTGCACCATCATTGAAGACCAAATTACCTGCTATTCCCTATTTTAAAACTAATTTAAAAACTGTGGTCACAGTTTCCGAGTATTGTCTCCTGTTGAAAACAAAGTCAGGTAGACAGAAATTCCGCGGTCGAGGTTGGAGGCTGCGATTTTCGTCATGCGCATGCTATGTGAGAGTTCGATGATCGAAATCAAACAATACCCTTCCTTCAAGTAAAAAATTAAAAGAAGGCGTAATGTCTTATCAAATGGGTAAAAGAATATATATTTTGAGAATGTTTTCTATGAAATGTATTAAGACTTATAAGAGCCTCAAAAATCAGTGAGAAAAATGTATGCTACTTAAATATTACTTTTTGCAGAGGGAAGTTTTTGCATGCAGCCGGAAAGAAGTTCGTTCAAAAACGGGTATCTTGAGGTAACTGAATTATGCTAGAATTATGCTGCACGATGAGTACAGGGAGTAACCGACCTCATGAAATGCTGCCCAAAATTCTGAAATGCATTTTCGACTAGTAAGGATTACGTAGGCCGGTTGTAATACTGATTATCTTGCGACATAATCCTATCATACTTCCGACTCGGAAGGATGTTGGCTTTTGAATGCACTTCTTTCAATCTCCTGTAGAAGCCGTACTCGGTAAAAATGACTACTTAGGTAGCATGCTTTTTTCACATTGATTTTCGATGGTCTTGCAAATTGGAATATATTTTATTAAAAACGTGAGCAAAATTATTCCTTCTTATACTCGTTTGATAGAGAATCACGTCGTCATCATATTTTATACTCGAAGAAGGAGTATAAGCAGGTTTTTAAAAAGTTTTCTTATTCCCGAATAATTTGGAGCCTGATTAGACGTTGCATTAGCGGCTTGTGATTTCAGTCTACAAGGTGCATGAGTTCCACGTAAGGGAAATCATATATTCTTCTATTTCTTTTAAAAGAAACCATACTGAGTCCATAAAATTTTACAATGGATGTGAACCATGTTGTACATTTCATGAGGCGCAGTGGTAAACGGACAGGTACGATGCTGTATGAATTGACACTGCAAGTCTTAAAAAATCTCATAATTAGAAACTTTTTTTAAGACCTGCTTATACTCCTTCTTCGAGTATAAAATATGATGACGACGTGATTCTCTATCAAACGAGTATAAGAAGGAATAATTTTGCTCACGTTTTTAATAAAATATATTCCAATTTGCAAGACCATCGAAAATCAATGTGAAAAAAGCATGCTACCTAAGTAGTCATTTTTACCGAGTACGGCTTCTACGGGAGATTGAAAGAAGTGCATTCAAAAGCCAACATCCTTCCGAGTCGGAAGTATGATAGGATTATGTCGCAAGATAATCAGTATTACAACCGGCCTACGTAATCCTTACTAGTCGAAAATGCATTTCGGAATTTTGGCCATTTCATGAGAACGGTCACTTAATGTAGTTGTACAACCCCTTTTAATTAATCTTTTCGGAACGAAAACGGATTTCGTAATTTCGGTTGACATTTCACGAGTTAGTCCACCTACTATATATGTGCGGGGTAAGGAAATGCTAACTGTTGCTTAGAAAATTCACCAGAGTTTCAACATCCCTGCTTTACCGGCAGACATACGCGTTTTATCTTGCAATATTCCGAGTATTTTTTATTACCTGACAGCTCTCTGTGCCGGACTATTTTCCAAAAAATGAGCTTTCCTCTTACTAAGGAATTATGTGTGGAGGGTTACAGAGCAATGGACCAATGTAGACATCTCAGCGGTACCGACTCCCTGGGCGATGTGGGTCAGCGAATGTCATCCTACCAACTAAGGGCCGACCAAAAACTCTACCGAACAACACCTGCTTTTAAAAATATTGTAACCAGTCCTTTCTTGTTTTTCCCTACCCCGCGCACATACTTAACCCTTACCGTAATAACAATATATCCAGTCCCATAGATGACATATTTACAATTAAAATCCCACTTCGCATAATTGCGCGTGCAAGTCATAGTTGCATGACGTGGCTATTCCTGGCTGCGATAGCCAATCCCCGGCATGTGCGCGCCTTTTAATTCGAATTTCCGATCGATAGCCTTGCCGTCCGGGGGCTTGTGACATAGACTGTCTGAAGGGCACTCCCGAGAAATGTGCGAGCCATCAGATCTCTCGGTAAGACTTACACCACCGTATGCTTAAATGAATGGTTCATGCCCCCCAGTTTGTGTTAGTTCACTTTGTTACGTAAGCCGCCTTGCGCAAAAGTTGTTGTTGGAAACCGGTTGCTAGAGGCGAGCATCCGACTAACAAAACACCTTTTTTCATATCTCTGTGCGCTCATCACAGCGATGGGGCGAAGTGTTCGTTCTTCTGATCTACGACAAGGACAGAGCCATGGCCTACAGAAACGCCGCCGTCAAGGAGAAG